GCTGTGGGGGGGGAGGGCCGGGGGCGCCTGCCTGGGAGGTTGGTCCCGGACCCCCCCCGCTGGGGGCAGCGGGAGCCGCGAAGGAGATGCGCCAGCCGGGCTCCCGGGTGCAAAAACCCCGCAGCTGCTTTGCAATCCCTATTCCAGCCGAGGCTCTGCTTCTCTTAATCCGAAGTCAAGTCGGTCCCCGGCGCTGCTCGGCTCTCCCGTCTCTTCTTCTCTCCCCGCGCCGCCCCTTCTTTCCCCTCTTCGCGATCCCCTCCACGGCTTCTGCTCGGCTTCCGTCCCGGCTGCCGGGCTTCTTGGCTCTCCCTTCGCCGCGTTCCAGCCCCTTCGGGGTCGGGCTCCTTCCTCGGACGGTCCGATCCGCTCCGGCTGACAAACTGAAACTCTGGCAGCAGAGCTTCCCATTGAAGCGGCTCCGAAGGAGGGGCTTTCCTCCCCCTCCCCACCACGCATCCCGCCCCGACCAATCACAGACGTCGGCAGGAAAGGGGGCGGCCCGACGGGAGGTAGGAGATATAGGAAGACGGTGAGATGCGGGCGGGGGGCGGCCCGGAGGTGTGAGCTTTTCTCCTGGAATCTGGGGAGGGGGAGATGAGTCAGTTTTCTGGAACTGCGCTCCAGTTCAGGGGTCTCTCGCCGCCGCTCAGATCTTAAGGAGGTGCCTTTGCTTTTCTTTAGAAAAAAGATAGTAATCTGAACTTCTCCTCCCCAGGTTGTCATGTCAGGGTTCCCCATTTTCTCCATCTGGTCTGGATTGCTTGCAAACAGTTGGCTGTTAAGGCTTTTCCATCTACCCAATCTTTAATGGGTCTGAATCTGGATTTTACTGCTGAGTTGATCCTTCTACTTGCTCTGCTCTCAGCCCTTGACAGTCTCTTAACTTTGCTCTATTATTATTACTGCTGGCCGCACAGTCAGCCAGATGTTTAGACTGGATGTGGCATTGTTATCCACCTATCGAGTCCTTCCCAAGGACCTGGGATAGTTGTTGTTTGATGGTGTTAAAGGTATAGTTGCAGGATGGAAGCTGTTCCAAGTAAATCTGCCTTTTGCAGGTCACTGATGGGGATTTTGTTGGTGCTGATGGTCTTCCAGTGGTGCTCCAGATGTTGTGGGATTGCACCCAAGGTGCCTATTACCACTGGTACTATCTTTGCTTTCTTTTGCCACAGTCGTTCTACTTCTGTTCGAAGGTCTTTGTATCTTGTGATTTTCTCCAGTTCTTTCTCTTCTCTTCTGCTGTCTCCAGCTATTGCAATGTCCATTATCCAGACTTTTTGTCTTTCTTATCAACAATTGTTGTTGTTATTATTCCAAACTTATCAATAAAAAAGGCACTAATGCGTACAATCAGGGGTGTTCACAGGGTGCAATGCACATAAAAAATAGGCAGAACTTTAATCAGACCATCATGGCCACCATCTTGACTTTTTTGTCCACACCCTGCAAACAAACCTGCATACAACTGCGTTAAAGGATGAATGCAAGTCAAATTCAATAAGCATAGCAATAAAAAAGGGAACAAAAGGCCTGGAAATTAGGTTATAAACAAAACAACTCTAAAACCTGACCATATTGCTCAAAAGTCTTCCTCCTTGCCACTCCAAAAAAAAAAAAAAATTCAAATGTTGACAAACTCCACATTAACTAACCATTGCTACAAATATGATGTAGATTGCTCCTTCCGCTGTTATATTATATCATTGTATTGTTAGCAACCCTCAGGTCCCCCAAATCCATAATTCCTGATATCTTAATAGATTCAAAATACTGTGGATGTAGCCAAGAAAACACACATCTTTAACATGCAACAACTGATCTAGTTAGAGTAACAATCTTATTGCCATTAGTCCAAAATGGAACAGTAACAAGACAGGACTGCCCGGAGTATGGGGAACAAACTAGGAGAAGTTGAATTCTCCCAGTGGGGTGGGGGGGGAGCAGTGGCCGAATAAGACATTGAGGATAATACCAAAATATGATGGGACAAAACCAGTGATTGGAATATTGTACTGGAAAGATATAATTTGTTCAAAAGAAACATTCCCTCAAAGGGGAGAGGAGTTGCATTACACACACACACACACACACACACACACTGTATGAAACTTCATGATACCAAGAGTGAAAGCCCTGCCAAAACTAACTGGGTGAAAATTAAAGGGGGGGGGGAACAAACAAAATAATTACACTGTTAGGTGTATG